CTGATTTAGTAGACACATGTCATGATTGCACAATGCCACACATGTCATCTTATCCCATTAGCGCAGGTTGATGCTCATGATGTTGATCACTGGATTGTCTAGCCCGGACTTATTTACAGAACGCCGTCATATAGCTGGAATATTGAACAACAAAATCGTTCTAAAATCACTGACCGCAGCCACGATTTGGTGGATAACCTGTGAAGGAGGGTGCTTAAAATTCGATCTGGGGTTCCGTTTCATCAAGCGATCTTGATACTGTCTTAAGTCTATGTGAAACCGAAGGAGCTACTATAGTCGTAGACTGACACCTAGTCTCTGAAATAGACACATTTAACAGAAATGGGTTTTTGGATATGATTGTTTCAGGGTCCGTATGACAGACTACGATCTTCGTAGCGCTAACATAGCTTTGTGAAGCGGGGCCCACAGCCGAGTCATACTATCAGAAAACTAAGAATGGTACTTGTTATTACCCTGCCTGGTGCGAGGCATTGAGAGAATCAGTAGGACAAGTAGGCTTGGAATGTGTCAGAGATGGTTTGAACTGCACCGTCGTATCTCGGTTTACTTGAGAAAACGGGCACTGGTCCGGAGTAGTACAAACAGCTACCCGTAGCTATTAAGGCGAAATGGGGGCGGTGGGTAGTCGAGTGGTGAAAGCATTCGGTCGTCATGCCGAAGACCCGGGTTTGATTCCCCACATGGGTACAATGCGTGAAACCCATTTCTGGTGTCCCCCGCCGTGATATTGCTGGAATATTGCTGAAAGCGGCGTAAACCCCACTCACTCACTCAATACATCGTACAAACGACAACATTTTTCGTGCAACACGTGTCCTCGCTGTATGGGTACTCTGGACATCGGTTTGACATCACACATTACAAACCGATGGTAGGGTTCGCACAGCGTCAATGTAAGGAAATTGCGGGGTCCTTTCATTAGCATACTGGCCAACTCTCACTCCTTTGGCTTTAGACTCATATATTACTTATGTCACGCTCTCACGACACTGAGAAATCTTCACGCCAAACTGGCTTCATTCTGCAGCAGACAGAATTTAACCACTCAAAATCACACACATGGATCCGAATACAAAAGTCATCGTTTCCAGTGATTGTTCTGAGAACGAAAATTTGCAGTCATGTCCAAGACAGTTCACTGTTACTCCACTCATAGCTGTCATGATTAACGGTGTAGACAAAACCGGATGTGACGTACTGTCCACATGACTATCGTATTTTCAGGGTGACTTCGTTCTCTGGGATGTCCCGCCTTGTGGGCGATGTAACAAGCAAATTCAACACTGAGCTGGACTACAAACAGGTAAAGCTATATTTCCAAGCAGTTTCAATAACTGAATGGTCAGTTGTTAAATGCCCAGCAAAATCGCTTTGCAGAGTTGCGTCCCTTGATGCTCCGTTTCTAGGTTTGTCAGCTCCACACGTGCTCATATCTAAACGCAATTGACCCAGTCGGCTATGCAGAGTTGCGTCCCATGGGTACGTCAGGAACCTACGATCGTGGTTCGAAACCCGGTTCATCCCATTCGTTTCTAGGTTTCTCAGCATCATACCCAGCGGTGGGGTAGCCTAGTGATTAAAGAGTCCGCTCGTTACGCCAAAGTCCCGGGTTCGATTCCCAACGTGGGTACAATGTGTGAAGCCCATTTCTGGTGTCCCCCGCAGGGATATTCCGGGAGTATTGCTAAAAGCGGCGTAAAACCATACTCAGTCAGTCAGTCGATGACTTGGAATATTGCTACAATCGCCGCAAAAACAAACTCACTCACTCATTCACTGATTTGCCAACTCACTCACTCACTAATTCATTCACAGATCGAAGACTTCGTGAACAGTGGAGCAGATATATCCCAAGCGGGGAACGCCTTCAATCAAGCCCTGGACAGGACACGAGCTAACATTGAGTGGCTTCGAGACAACTATAACATCTTTGAAGATTGGCTCAAAGAACAGAACGCAAACTCTCCTCTCCAGTGACTGTAAACGACACAAACTATCTGCGGTCAAGGAGTGCTGCTTGGCTGTGTAGTAGGATATTTACTTCCCCCTGCAAATTCTTTCCGTGGGAAGTAATATCTAATATCCAATATATAGATAATAACTATATTCAAAGGATATTAGTTCCAGAGGCAGTTTCTTGAATATTTTCTCGCACGAAACTTTTTGCGTCTGTAAACTATTTGCCTTTGGCCCCGTTCCACAAAGCGATCCCATACGTAACATAGGCTTACGCCAGTCGTAGCGCTAAGATGGTCGTAACTCGCATACTTTAACACAAGCGTACGACTGTCTTTGTGATGAGATGATCATAACTCCCCTACTTTAATATAGGCTTACGCCAGTCGTAGCGCTAAGGTGATCGTAACTCGCATACTTTAACACAAGCGTAAACTGTCTTTGTGATGAGATGATCATAACTCCCGTACTTTAACATAGGCTTACGACCGTCGTAGCGCTAAGGTGATCGTAGGTCCCATGCTTTAGCATAGACTTACGCCAGTCGTAGTGCTAAGGTGATCGTAGGTCCCATGCTTTATCATAGACTTACGACTGTCGTATGATCGCTTTATGGAACTGTGCCCTGGAGTCAAAAATCACACTGTCGTCAACACTGCTGAACGAAAAAAACACAGCAATATTTACGTGTTTAATTTTTCGGGGTCGTGAAGATATATATTGCAACATATTCAAACTATATTTGCGTAACAAATACTTTTTTTCGGTTAAAATGTTAAATGATTTTTAAGTACGTGTATCTACAATGAATAAAAGTACAATCAGAAAATATTGATAATTTTGTGCGTTTTGGGGTCAAATGTTTATGTCATCTCGAGACATGAGATACCGACATGTACCGCCCGTGATCATATCACTTTTATTCGATCATTCAATAAGATGATTATGTCTGGAAACGAAGAGCCAGGTATATGAATGAGTGAGTGAGCATGGCTTTACGCCGCTTTTAGCAATATTCCAGGAATGCAACGGCTGTCGACACCAGAATTGGGGCTGACACATTGAACCGATGTGAGGAATCGAATCCGGATCATCAGCGTGGCGAGCAAACGCTTTAACCACTAGGCTACCCAAAAGCCCAATCTTACGTTATTATGTTGTGTTGCCAAGTTGAGTAGTCATGTGAGGAATCGAACCCGGGTCTTCAGTGTGCCTAGCGGACGCTGTAAACATACCCCTACCCTCCGCCCCTTTCAATATGACATACCGAGGATGAGTGATATATCCAGCTTATAAGGGACCGTTCATAATTTATGGCTAGGGGGGCGATGATGATTTTTATGGAGAAGCATGTACAATGTGAATTACCCCCCCCCCTAAAATATATGTACAAAATACAAGTGACTCCCCTGCATGTCATGTACAAAATGAATGACCCCCCTCGCCTTCCCATAATTTCTAAGCATATTTTTAAACATATTTTTATGTACAAAATTGCTGACCCCCCAGTACATGTGTACAAAACTGGTGCCCCCTCACCCCCCAACTGGCTCCCCAGAACAAAATCGGTGATCCCCCTTAAAATCAACATCACACCCCTAGCCATAAATTATGAACGGTCCCTAAAGCCGTGTAAGAGACAAGATCATGGGGACACCTTAGCATGAAATAGTAACATGGTCGCAGTATGAAACGAATTCGACGACAGCGGGCGAAAGGAAGATGACGTGCAGCATGCAGACAATACACGTCCGCCACATGATCGATTGGAACCCTCTCAACACCGAATTGCTGTCAAGTTAACGGAAATACCACGGTACTATTACAGATTTTCCGCGGTCTATCTGCGGACATACTGCAGAAACTTTATGGAATTGTCGTGGTAAGTTTGCGGACGTACTGCTCTTTGTTTGCGGATTAAAAGTAGCACATTCGACACATCTTTGCACGTCTGCGGAATTGTCGCTGCACACTTGATGAAATGCTGCAGAACTTTTACAGAAATACCCTCACTTTTACGAGTGAGTGAGTGAGTTCAAAATTTAAAGTCACGTCGGCAATATTTCAGCCATATCGTGACTAAAACTAATTCTAAATTCATAATGCTCACTTTTACGGAATATCATCACTGCATTGCTAATTTGTCTGCAAAACAAATCGCAAAAATGGGACTTCATTGACATTTTAGTCATTGAAATATAGTTCTCTAATTTCAATTAAATTGAAAAGCAGCCCAGGACAATATTATAGTTCAGAACTTCGCATTTCATTTTAATATACTGAGGAAAACAAATAAGGGAACACCACTTCATGGCAATGATCCTCTATTTATTCTCATATTTCCTCCGTCAACGCTATTCAAAGCTGGTGATGAAAACTGGAATATATTAAAGAAACACTCGAATTTTCCTGTGTTCCTTTATTTGTTTCTCTCAGCAGATATTCTCTATTGTCTTGGAGACAGACTAAGCAGTAGGTAATTCATATGCTCCTAATCTGTAGTAATGTGATTCACATTATGAGCCAAATTATCCAACAAGAGAGACATTCTTCAACTGACAACCATTCCTCTGTATTGCAATGATATCTCTGAGCACTTCATTTTCAATCAATTTTGCAAAAGTATCTCGAAAGTATGCAGTCTTTCTGAGAATAATTCAAATGTGTAATGGAGAAATATTTTGACTTTATAATGTGACGAGTCTTCGCTGCAAAATTCAGTGAACTGGTTCCCGTCACATAACTGAAATCGAGTTGGAGTGAGTGAGTTTAGATTTACGCCGCACTCAGCAATATCCCAGCTATATGGCGGCGGTCTGTAAATAATCGAGTCTGGACCAGACAATCCAGTGATCAACAGCATGAGCATCGATCTGCGCAATTGGGAACCGATGACATGTGTCAACCAAGTCAGCGAAACTGACCACCCGATCCCGTTAGTCGCCTTTTACGACAAGCACATCGGTTGCTGAAGACCTATTCTTTCCCGGATCTTCACGGGTCGAAATCGAGGTGGAATCACGTTGTCAAAATGCATGGGAAGACTGTCTTCCACATGCAATAGGCTGTTGTCTTTGGGCGTTTGTATCAAACATGGTGCTGGTGTGTTTCAGCACCCTTGTTTTTAGGCGCACAAAAAGTTGCATTTACCTTCGGGTATAAATGAACTCACCACGTTTAAGTTTATATATGCTGACTATCAAATTTCAGGGTGTTCCCGTACTTTTTGTTTGTAGTATATTTATATACATACTATTTTCAAATATTCGACAGCATGTTACCCTTTTCCGTATTTTCACAATTTGCTGAAATAATTCAAATTGTCAAGCTATCAAATACAAGTCGAATGAAAAAGGGCACAATGTGTTAAACCCAGTTCTGGTGTCCCCCGCCGTGATATTGATGGAATATTGCTAAAAGCGGCGTAAAACTAAACTCAGTCAGTCAGTCGAATGAAAAAAAATAAGAGTGAGTGAGTGAGTTAAGATTTTAAGTCACATTGGCAAAATTGCAGCCATATCGTGACTATAACTAGTTCTAAATTCATGATAAATGCATATCATTTATAAAACCCTGTCAACGAAGGACAGTCAAAATACTGGATTATCACAGATCTGTTAAAACTAGAACAAAGACAACTATAATCACATACTAACACTTAACGATACGAGATTACACTTGGCAAGAGATCGCTAGTAACGGAAGTTAGGTCACCATAATAGGGAAATTAATTTAGGAAAATTACACACATTTTAAGAAATTGCCACGCTTGATGACATCACACAAATCAGTATTTATGAATTAATCAAGAGGTTTAATAAAACTGATAAAATAATATAACAAACAAATTGTTACTGCTAGCATTCCTGATAGATCAGGTGGATCCTGAGTTACCAATTTCAATAAATAGGCAACATCGATCTACATTACTCAGAAATGTGCCAGTTAGATCTACACGTGATCCATAAATGGTTTAACGCGGTGACACGTGATTTTGTGTAAGGTGCATTGGTCGCAATTCAAGTAATGTTAAGATACAGGTTCTTCTGTTGAGACAGTGCTCGACAGCTTAACTCTCAGAGTTTCTTGGTCTTCGGTCCTACCATACACTGAAACACATGGCAAGTCACTCTGTTCCTAATGCTCACCAGCAATGAATGGGTACCCGGTAGGATTAGATTTGAATGTGACTGATCACTGTATGGCGCTTCGCTTGAATTTTACAGTCCCGAGGGAGTTGAGAATGAAATTCAGTGACTGGGTAATATAAAAAAGGGCTATAGGTCGCCAACAACTGAAGGCAGGTCACGACAATAGGGACCATGGGGACTTACAGTACCGTTGCTACCTACATGAACCCTAGTTGGATTTACATCATCCCTCCAGCAGCCGGTGATTGTAGTCAACATTTAGCCATAATTAAAATCACAAAGATTCTACGCTTAAAATTCGGGTAAGTTTGAAATTTACTTGGAGAGTTTTTGGACTTGCGTACCCTCTAAGGAGGACAATAATTTTACAGGACTTTAACCCCCCTTGAGGGTACTGCCACTAACAACCTCAGTTACTTATTTAAATTTCCAATCAATTATATTTATCTATTTACAAATCATTTAACAAATCAAATTATGTTCAAAATGAAATAATTAAATCATAACTTATATTATGAAAAAGATCATTCATAGTTCGTGATTTGAAACAGATATCCCTTGTGATGGAATACTCAACACAGTCAAGCAAGACATGCTTGACTGTGATTCTTTCATCACAAGGGATACAAAACGGAGGATCCTCACCTTTTAACAGGTATTCATGAGTATATCTAGTATGACCAATACGACATCGTCGCGTGATGACCTCTTCAAATCTGACTGACAACCCAAGTAGGTGTAACCAATATTTATTTCATGTAATTTATTAATACCTACTTGAGTGTCCCTCTGCTACTGCATCAGATCACGGATGTAGGTTCTAATGCTAGCCTTGTAATCAGAGTATGGGATAAGAAGTGGTGTCACAGATTTGTTGAGTGCTGCCTTGGCAGCAAGATCGGCCAAAGTATTCCCAGAAATGCCAACGTGGCTGGGTAACCAACAAAAGACGAATTCGCAATGGCCAGTAGGAAGCTCATTATACAATTCAATAATTTCTAATAAAAGTGGATGTTTACAAGAAAGATTTTTAATAGCCTGAAGACACGAAAGAGAATCGGAAAAGATTATGTATTGTTTATATTACGTTGTTTATTAATATATTTAAGAGCTGTTAATATGGCGTTAGCTTCTGCTGTGAAAATAGAGCTGTTATTTGGTAGTCGAGAAGATATTGTTCTGGATCCAATGACAGTGGCACATGCCACCGGGCCACAATCCTACGACCCATCTGTAAGTAAGGATTTGTATGTATCATATTTATTTTATAATTGATTATATGCTTGTTTATAGTGTAATTCAGTAGTTTCTGATTTCTTAAACTTTGTCTGAGTTAGGTCAACTTCAGGCCTCACCAGTTTCCAAGGAGGAGAAGAAAGAAGACAGGAAGGAGATATATTTTCCAGCTCAATGCCGGCAGCAGAAAGGAATGGTTTGACTCTTAATCCCAGAGGCAGAACAAGAGAAGACTTTTTGTAGTACAGATCCTCATAAAGAGGGTTGAAGACACAGTTATATGCAGGGTTAGACTCGTTAGAATAAAGTTTTGTTATATACTGCAAGGATAATTTGATACGGCGTTGTGTAAGAGATGGATCATTGGCCTCAACACATAGACTGTCACAGGAGAAGTTCTAAAGGATCCAAGACATAGTCTTAGACCTTGATGGTGGACAGAATCAAGAATTTTAAGGTTACCTTTGCAGGCTCCACCATATACGATGGAGCCGTAATCAAACTTCGAACGGACCAGTGATCGATATAGATGTAGGAGGGTAGTTTGATCCCCTTCCCCCTTAGAATTGGAAACGACTTTCAACAAGTCAAGTGCCTTCAGGCATTTATTTTTGAGATATTTGATATGCGGAAGAAAAGTTAAATGGGAGTCGAAAATATGGCCCAAGAACTTGGCCTCCTTTGAGGGGAGTGCCAATTAAAGATAGTTCTGGGTCCTTATGAGGCTTAGATTTTCTACAAAAGTGTAGACAATTAGTTTTGGACTTAGAAAAATTTAAAGCCGGTTTCAAGACACCATTTATTCATTTTGTTTAAACGCAACTGCAGTTGCCTTTCAATAGTATGCATATTCTTACAGCGACAATAATATTAAAATCATCCACAAAAAAGTGATCCATCGATTGAATCGTTTAAAACCTTGGATAAGCTGTTGATCTTAATGCTAAATAAAGTGACAGACAAAATACTTCCTTGTGGGACACCCTGATCCTGTTTGTAATGGTCAGACACGGTTGAACCCACTCGGACTTGAAATTGCCTGTCTGATAAAAACTGTAATATAAAAAGAGGCAAATGACCCCTCAAACAAAAATCATGCCATGCTTCCAGGTGGTTCCGTACGTTTTCTCGAGATCAATTTTATCGATACAGCATGTTGTTTATTTACTATAGCATTTTTAACAAAGGATTCTAAACGTACCAAATGATCAATGGTACTACAATTTTTCCTGAAACCACATTGGATATTGGTTATAAGGTTATTGGTTTCAAGATACCATGTTAATCTATTGTTTACCATTCGTTCCATGGTTTATAGACACAACTCGTTAAAGAGATTGGTCTGTAATTAGACGGATCAGTATGATCCGGGCCAGGTTTTGGAATAGGAACAACAATGGCATCACACCACGAAGTTGGGAAATTCCCTGAAGTCCACATTTGATCAAAAATTTCTAAAAAGATTTCTAAACATGATTCGGGCAAATGCTTCAAGAGCTGATAGTGAATATTATCAGCTCCTGTTGCTGTACATATCATGAGCTTGCTCAAGGGCGGTATGGAGCTCATGTAACGAAAATAATTCGTTATAATCTTCACTATTGTCTGAGTTAAAATGGATTCTTTTCTTTTCCTGTTGTTTCTGTTACTTTTGAAACTCAGGGACATAATTTGATGAAGATGAATGCTTGGCTAGAGTTGCACCAAGTTTATTTACAATGTCAGGTTTATTAGTTAATATAGTATCACCGTCCTTCAGATGATGAACAGTAGATTTGGAACCTTTGCCCTTTATTCTTTGGATCAAGTTCCACACCTTTATAGGTGTACGTAAATTTATGTTGGAAGCATAGTTCCTCCAAGACTGACGCTTATTTTGTTTAAATGCGCGTCGAGCCTTGGCATTTAAAATTTTTACTTTGTCTAAATTATGGACAGTAGGATGTTTGCGAAAATATTTTTCCGCTTTCTTCCTGCACTTTCTGGCCTGTTTACATTCATTATTAAACCATGGTTTACGAATGTGTGGAGTTGCAGAGGACTGTGGAATAGTTTTGTCAGTAATGTCATTTCAAATATCTGAAAAAGACTTTATAGGATCTTCACTGTTCCTGAAAAGGTCATGCTTTAAGCGTTCAACACACAGAGCGTCATATTATGACCAATCAGACCTGGCGAAGTTCCTTCTCGATAAAGATGAATCATCACCAGGGTTGATTGTTTTGAGAATGGTTGGGAAGTGATCACTCCCACATAGGTCATCATGGACCATCCATTTAAATTCATCATACAAGACGGAGTCAGCGAGTGACAAATCCAAGGAAGAATATGTTCCCGGGTGAATCATCATTGAAAATACATAAATTATTATCGGAAATGAATTTCTCAAGAATTTTGCCTTTATTATTAGTGTGGGCACTCCCCAAACCGGGTTGTGTCCGTTGAGGTCGCCCATAATGAGACACGGCTTTGGAAGCTGATCATAGAGATTTTGAAGATCCGATTGTCGGATGCCCGAAGAAGGAGGGATATATAAGCTGCACAAAGTCAAGGCAATATGCAGGGTCAGACGAACAGCTACGGTTTGAAGATTGGTATTAAGAGATACAGGGCTATGAATTATACCCTGGCGCACCAAAATGGTAGCACCCCCAGTTGCTTTATCTCCCGGAGGAGAAAGGTAGTGATAATCGGTATACTGCCGCAGATTAAAGTTATCAGTATTTTTTAGAT